TCCACCAGAACATCTCTCGTGTCTGTCTCGTCTGTGTTCGCCAACTCCACACCTCCTTCAGGTATCCAGTTCAACCCTCCCTCCCGGAGCCGGACTCCGTCACTGAACCTGGTTACTCACAGGCTACTGACGAGTCACGTGAAACCCAGGCTCTAGAGGGCATCAGAACAGCCCAGGGGGCATTGGCGATAAAAATGCTGTTGCATGGGATGGAGTGTACTGAGAGCTGGAAATCAGTGAAGCCACCCCAGAGATGGACCTTGAAGTGGGGAGTGGGAAGCGAAAGAACATTCCTGAGCCTTGGGCAAATGAGGAAACAGGAAGGGGAGGCCAGACTGTGTGACAGACTCATGGGGCCACCAGGGAGAACACGGGGGTGGGTTTAGGACGAGGCCTTATGTTTGCACCTGTTCAAGGTGATTCCACCTGACTTTTCTGAAATGCCTCTTTCACCTTTGTCTTGGGTCGCTCTCTTCCTGGAAGGCCTCCTGACAAAGAGCTGCTGGCAGGGCCTGGCAGTCCCACAAGGCAGGCCTGGGTGCTTGAGTCACACTTGGGTAACAGTGAAGGTTAGGTTCCTGCAGGCTCTCCACGCTGACTTCCCCGCCCGCGGCCCAGCTTCCCTGGAGAAGCCAGTTGGGTGACGGAGCAGTCACAGATAGATGCTTTACTGATACCCATCCTGCTCAGAGTGCCCCTACCTATTTGCCTGGCCTGGAGGGATGGACACCACCTATCCGTCAGAACCTAGCACCCTGGGCATTCAAGGGACCAGGGGGCCCTGTCCTACTGCAGATCTCGCTGATGAGACGCCGATACCCTTAAGATAGTAAAGTTCACACTTTTCCACATTGAGAATTGAGTCAGCACCCTATGCCTATCTCCTTAGCCATTCTGAGCTCCCAAGGAGCCTCGTGCAGCTGCACGCTCTGCCCCAGAATCCACCCCAGGCTGCCCAGGGTGCTGCAGAGGCAGGAAAGGGGCATCCGCAAGGGCGTGACACGCTGCCCCCAAAAATGATGGGAGAAGCTACCCAGGGAGGCCTGCGGGAGCAGTCGGAGCCGGTGTGGGTAAGACTGCAGTTAGGCCTTGTACACGGCGTGTAGCTTCATTCTAGCACAGAGCTGGCCACTGCCTGCTTGCGGACAGGCCCCAGGAACGGGGCTGAGGGCAGGAGGCTACTCCCCTAGTCTTCCTATACTAGACCCAATGAAAAGAGACAGTGACACGCCCTACCCCACCCCGCCCCACCCTGAAAAGAATGGGATCTCCTGAGCAGAGTGATGGGACACCCCCCACCCCACCCCCACCGACTGACGTGGAAACAGGCAGGCCTCAGCAGGCGATGGACTGACTCCCCCAGGGCAGCCAGCCAGGCCAGGAGGCCAGCCCCACCCATTGTACCCAGAACCCTTTCTGAAGGATGCAGAGGTTGTTATGCGAAATAAAACACATCTGGTTGAAAAGCACGTGTAAGCAGATGTATTTCAGTTCTCCACAAACATCCCCATGGCAGTTCGCCCGAATGAAAACATCCGTGTGGCTCAGTGGCTTTTGTATGTTTTTTTTAAAGGCCCCATCTCCCCTCCGTAGCAAAGAGGTGGCTTCATCAGGGTTCAAGAGTTGAGGGGTCAGGGGTCCCCACAGCAGGACAGCTCTCAGGATGGTGACCATCCAGAGTTGGGAGTGCCCTGGGTGACACGGCTTGAGGGCATGGGACCTCTGGGTGCAGGAGATGAGGAGGCAGAATGGGGAGGTTCCTCCCCAGGGGAGTTCCTTTCGTTGAGTGTATCTGGGTCCTTCCCATGAAGCCCTCCCATCAGGGAGGTGGCTGCAGCCGCTGACGACAGCGGGCTTCGTTAAAGCCCCCACCGCACCAGGGGGACACGGAAGGAAACCACGGAAGAGTGTCCACGTCTTATCCAGTGTCCCGGCTCCTCTTCTCTCCGGCTCAGTTCTCCGCGCTCAGGGCAGCACCGGCTGCAGCACCTCCTCCGCGCAGCCCACCCGGTTGTGAAAGCGCCGTGAGCAGCCGGCTTTGGGGAGCCCCCGCACGTCCCACAGGCGCAGCGAGCCGTCATGCGAGGCCGTGTAGAGCACCTGCTCGTGCACCTGCACGGGGTGGAGGGCACCAAGGTCTGGTACCCGAAAGGGCCTTCCCCACCGGAGGCGGGCCCCGAACGCCTGACCCCCCCACCTTGCAACCCTCCCCACACGCCCCAGTGGCAGGCCCACACACCCTAGGACAGTGGTTCTCAACCTGTGGGTCGTGACCCCTCTGGAGGTCAAATGACCCTTTCCCAGGGGTCGCCCAATTTATCACAGTCGCAAAATGACAGTGATGAAGTAGCAACGAAAATAATTTTATGGCTGGGGGGGTCACCACCACCTGAGGAACTGTCAAAGGGTCGTGGCATACAGAAGGTGGAGAACCACTGGTCTAGGAGGGGAACAGGGGTGCTGGTCACCACCTCGCTGGTAAAACGCAAGGGAGAGGCCCCGAGGCCTTGCAGGAAGGCGCCTCCAGTGGCTCCATCCCCCCGGGCCACCCTGGCTCTGACCCTCCCGTCCCTCCGCGGGGTGCCTACCTGGATGCAGTTGATGATGAAGTCGTGGCCCCGAAACACCCTCTGCAGTGCTCCCGACTGGGCGTTAAAGGCGCGGGCGCGGGCATCTCCACTGCCCGTAAACACTGTGGACACCGAGCACACTCATGGGACTCTCCAGCCAGGGGGACCCACCCGCTCCTCCGGACCCTCCCAAGCCCTATGGCCCTCGCTTGGTGGGGGGTGGGGGGGCGGGGGCGCTGGGCCTCCTCTCAGTCAGAGGGCCAGGGTCAAGGCCCCGGGGTACACAGTGGGTCTGTCCCACCTCCCTAGGCCCTGGGAGCTCAGACGGACAATAAAGGTGGTCTGAGGTCTCTTCTCCAGGCCTGGGCTTGGTCAGTCTGCACTGCCCCCGCACCCCCAGGTGTCCATCCCTCCAGAAGACCTCCACTCAGGTGCCCTTAGTCTTTCCGGGGCCCTGGAGCCACCTCGCTCTCCTTCCTCCTGGGCATCCAGCCTCACAGAGTTAGGACTAACCCCCAAGGTACTGCTTTAAAAGAGGCGGCAGCTCCTCAGCCTTGAACTTAGCCCGACACCAAACCCTGATCCTCCAAGAGCTCTTCTATAGAATCATCCCTGAATAGAGGCCCGATGCTGAAAGAGCTTTTTCTCCC